CAAAAAATGTGAGTGTTTGGCAAAGTAATAATTCAAGTAGCTTTTAGTGGCGGAGGTAGCTTTTATTAAAAGTTAGGATTATTAGCTTTTGAAGTTAGAGGTAGCTTTTAAAGTAGCTTTTGAAAATTTAATGTATAGTTTTAAAAATAAAAGATTGATTCTTAAATGTAACAGCTAGTCAATCACTACTTTACCGAACAATCATACCTAAATTATCTTTTTTCACAGCTAACAACTTGTTGACAGCTAACAGCTATCTCCACAGCTACAGCTACCTTCACAGCTATATTTTGCCGAACATGCCCTAACTCTAATTTATTCATCCAAACGTACTAATACTTTCCCCTAGCTTGGCGCTGATGTATATAGCTAGGCTTCTTGTTGAACCCAATTAGAGGCAATCAAGTACTTCTAGAGTGTTCAATACGGGTTCTTTGAGAAGCATCACTAGAGACTCATCCATCTCTAAAGACTCTGGTGTACGAGTCTCGTGTTGGTGGACACAACCAGAGGCAAGTGATGTTGTTAGAGGCTCCAGTACATAAGCTTCTTGTTGGACACAACCAGAGGCAAGTGTTTCTTCTTGATGAAAGTTTCGTTCTTCTATAGAGATCTTTAGCTTCATCAACATTGACGGTAGTAATGTTATGGATGCTAGACCTCTTAGTGACTTTCTGACATTTTTTCTTATTAAAGAACTTTTGGGCATGGCTAGCTACTTGAGTTGGAGACCTTGTTGGCACAGCGGACCTTGATATGCTTCTCCAATCACCGTGTCCATAAATTTCAACTCCGATGATGAACAACCTGCAATAGGAAAATCAAAAGTTAAGGCAGGTTTAGTTTTTTTTTATTTTTTATATATATATATAGGGGATTAAGGCGGGTTTAGGGTTTTTATATTCAGGTTGCCATCATGCAAATAGCTAGTATGCAAAATAAATCAACAATATATTTTCAGAAAAAAATAAATAAATAAAAGAGTAGGGTTACAAGACTTATATACAACAAAGTATTTATTTTTTTCCAAATCAAAGGTAGGCTTCAAGCATTATATCTTCAATTAATAAACTACACTGTAAAATAATACGACCCGATTATATTACATGAAGAGTCATAAGGTGCAAATTAAGAGTGCAAAATATTTTATAGGTTAAAAAACTGTGAAAACATTGATGATATATCAAAGATTTATGATCAAGACTTCAAGATTATTGAATCAAGGTGGAAAGGTACAAAATTTTAAAGATAACAAAAAAAAAATGTACATAAATGTTAATTAAAAAAAATAATCAAACATTAATGATACATCAGAGATTTATGATCAAGAATTCAAGGTTATTGTGTTTGAGACAATAATGACCATATAAGAAAACATAGTTTCTCAAGAAAATTAAAAAAAATAAATTAACAGGCCAGGTAAATATTAGATGAAATTAAATAATTTAAATCAAACATTGATCATAAACAATTAAGTATATCACAGTTTATGTTCAAGAATTCAAGATTAATTCAGGATTGTTATAGTAGAGTTAAAATTTGTACTTCATATAAAGATTAATGATCATTATTAATTGTAAGTGATGTAATTAACATTGATGAATTATTCTATACAATTTCTAAAAGCAAAACAAAAAAAACAATTCAGCCATTGTTCAATATTCATACTACAATACTACATAGTAGTAAATAATAATTAGGTACCTGTGTTCATCATTAGACCACTGAGACCCTTTGCTGCTATTCTTAATCTTTTTATTCGGAGGGTTGAGATAATGTGACAACTATTCTCGATCTCCTTCTCATCGCACCAATGTGGTGGGAAGTAATCAACCTGGCCACCTTCGATCCTATCAATGTCGTACACTAGTCGGTCGAAGTGAAGTTTAACCTCTTGCGCAGTTCTAGATTGGCCGAGAAGGTTGGAGATTTGTTGGAAGCGAAGATTTTCGTCCATCTCGTAAAGGTAATCCAATGTAAGACATTTTTCAAAGTTGTTGTTTTCTTCAGGAGTCCATTTTATGAAACTTGAGTATGATGTTGATGGAAAATTATTAGTAGGAAGATGCATTATTTTTTTTTTTTTACTGCTTAATAAAATAATGAAGAATGTCAATGAAATTTAATGAACTCAATAATCTCATGTTAATGTTTATATATATATACAATAAGTGAAAACTTTGTAAAGTAAAAAGTCAACCCTCCAAACTGCCTACCCTCCTTATTAGCTTCAAACCCTAAACGTATGATACGGCTGTATTAAGGAGAATTTTAAGCTTTTTTTTTTTTTTTTTTTTTTTTTTTTTAAAAAAAAAAAATAAAGTAGTAAAAAGTAAAAAGAATATTAGTTAGTTATGAATGAAGTTTTGTTGATAAGGACTAAGCTATGAATTAGTTGGAAATTTGTGGAAAAACTAATTTTTATTATCAATAAATTCATTATGAATTTTAATTCAAACAAGATAAAAAAGTTCTCTTTTAATTTTTTTTTTTTTTTAAATGGCCATGGCTCATGGTATGGATCTACAACTAGATACGATGTTTTACTCACCTTTATCAGTAATACACTGTGTTATATTTACACTGTGTTATATAATCAATATACTATTTTTTTAAATTGGCACTCTCTTATTGTAATTTACACGAAAATTTTCTTTGCTATATGAAAAAGTATGAAAATTGTATAATTTGCAACAACAACCGTTTTATTGGAATTATAAAAAGTTGATATTGTGAAAGTATTTTACGAGACGAATCTAACAAAATTTCACATGACTGAATAGTGCAAAAGTCTAGTTGTTGCAATATTACTAGAACAAAGGAAGTATCAAATTAGACAGGTTAAAAAAATACATTTCGTTAAAAAACAAAAAAAGGTTCAGACTCATTTAGATAATGTGCATTTACCGCTTATAAACCCAAAAGCTATTTTAAAAAAAAAAAATTAATATTCAGTTAAAACTAGATTATTCTGTTCACTTTTAGTTGCGCCTCTTTGAATAAATGTGTCAAAACCCACCTTAAAAAAAAACAAAATTCAAATTTTGACTCATATGAACACAATGACTTAACGTGACTCAAATTTATAATTAGACCTAATTAACCCGACCTAAGTCACCGACCTCAACGAATTCGACCTAGAAAACAGAAGTAACACCTCTAGATAAAAGAGTGAATTGTTTTGTTCAAAATTAATAAATTATTGAAATACTATTCACAATTGTACTTTGTGAGAATTTTGTGAGAATTTATCTTGTACTTTTAAACAAGATAAATTTGTTCTCCCTTAAGATCGATTTCATCTTGTTTAGATCTTATTAAAATAGTCGTATAATATGAATCTGTATTTTGACACATTTTTTAGTCAAGTTCATCAGTAATAATAAATTGTTAATTATTTTAAAGGTTACGGAGTAATTTTTTTTTTTTTTTTAGGAAATAGAGTTATATTTGTTAATTATTTTATCAAACTGATTTTTAACTGACGTGTGCTGTTATTTTTTCAAATGGAATAAATTGATTTTTAACTGACACTTCTCTAGCTTTAATTAGGTAACATAAATATACTTGACAATAGTGGGATAAAGGATTTGCACCCTATTTTTTATCATCAATATATTTTATTAAATCAATAGTTGTTTTTTTAACATAAATTGTACATTTAATATGATATTAGGAATAAATTAAGTTCTAGATTAGATCCGACAAAATTAGTTGTTACCATCGAGAAATTGTTATATACACCCGATGCAAGGTGCATTCAAGGGTATTATTTATTCATTTTTATGATTATTTGATTATTTCTCATTTGAAAATACTTTTGGGTGCACCATATAGGGCATACACCCAGATGTGTGTAATTATTTTCAGTTACAATCTGTCAAAAAAAAAAAATTGTAACAATAAAAAAAAAAAAATCTACTCATTAACAAAGTCTACTCAATCATTGTTTTATTTATAAAAAAAGTCTACTCCATCCTCGAATTTTTCGTTCTCAATATTTTAATAATATAACCATATACTATGTACGGAGTATATAAAATACTTGTATAAGCAAAGTATATTAATGTATTTAAATATGATATAGTAAAATTTAAATTTTATATGCATATTAATTTAGCTTTAAAAAATAACCTCTATAGTTTAATTTATATTTTTAAATTTAGCCTATTTCAATTTTTAGGACCTTTATTTATATTCATAAGAAGATCAGTAGGTCCCTTTTTTCTTTAACCATTTTTTTCATTTTAGTGACCCTTTAATTTCGCTACACATTCTCTCTAAAAATAACAAAAAACCAATTTCCTTGTTCCCCTTGCCGCCGCTCATCAACGGTCGTCGGCGAGCATCAATTGAGGGTTTAGTTTAGTTTAGTTTTTTCAATCTCCTAAGACACTCTAACGCTTTGGTTAGCAATTTTTAACTGAAAGTGTTAAGTGGTAGCAATTTTTAACAAACTTGCTTTTGTATGGTAGTAAAATAAAATAAAAAATTTATCCGATAGCAAAAGTGAAATGCATGTATTTTGCTGTTAGCAAAAGTGAAAATTTTGTTCCTCTCTCTTCCGTTTTCCCACTACCAAAAAATAAGTGTGCCAACTTCTATAGTGCAATCATAAAATAACAGATGAAGTATAAAAGTATATGAGAATTAATTCAATGGACAATGCAATTTCCTTCCTATTAACCAATCATGATTTTTACCGTTCTTGGAAATTTTTACTTCCTATACTTTCTTATTCGTCTCTTATTTCGTGTTGCAACTAGAGATGTCAAAACCCCACCTGACTCGACCTGATTCGAAACTGACCTGAAAAATATCTGATTCAAATTTAGACTCACGTAGACATAATAATTTAGCATGAGTCAAGTTTAAAAATTAACCCGACCCAATCCAACCTTTTCAGACTCGATCCGATCATTCGAATTGAAAAATCTACTAGTAACCAAACCAGGCCTAAACCAAGTAACCAACCATTTCTACCATTTTCCCCTAGTTTAGCAAAAATGACCAAGTTTTCCCTCGAAAGAAAAAGTAACAACAACAAAGTGAAAAGGAAATCGAGCTTAGAATACTCGGCGGTCTTGCGACTCTTGTGGTCTTGCCCCCTCTTCCTTCTTCCCACAACCCCTCTCTCTCCTCCTGCCGGTCATCGACCACCGCACCACCACCACCTCCGCCACGGCCGTGCCGTGTAACAGTTGCTGATTGAGTGATTTCAACGGCCGACACTGTGAATCAATTGCGAACCAACGAGATAAAGCTGAGAAATTATTGGAGGAATTAGTAGGGGAAGCTTTTTTTCAGCTTGTTGATAATTTTCTGACAAATCAAATTGGTGGGTGTTTATTTGTTGAAATGGGTAATATTTTTGTGAAAAAACCCAAGATCACTGAGGTTGATCGTGCAATTCTCTCTCTAAAAACTCAGAGACGCAAGCTTGGTCAATATCAGCAACAGGTAATTAATTCCTTGCTTTTTTCCCCCTTTTTTGAATTTTGTTTTCTGGGTAATAATTGTAATCTTTTTAATTTTGTTGGGTTAATGTTGAAATGCCGGATTATGTTGATAAATGTTTTAGTTTATGTTGATCTGATTCTCTTTGATTTTGATTATACATTTGGTTTTATAGTATGTATATTAAAGAAAAGAATAATGCACACATTTTATTAGATAGATGGGTGAAGATTAGTTTTTGATTAAATGGGGTGTTGATTAGCTCAATTAGCTTTATTGTCCTCAATTAGGTTATGCATTGTTCTGCTTAGGGATGAAAGTATGTTTGAGTTTGGGTTCGATTTTGGTGGATATGGAAAGGATTTCGTGCTTAAGTAGAAGCTTTCTGTTGTCTGAAGTTAGTATAAAACACGGTAGATTTGATTATTGATGGGGTGAAGTTTTAAACTTTTAATGCAAAGGAGTCCAATTACAACTATTTGGGGGTTTAGTTATCAGCCTATGGTGAGAAAGGTAGCTTTGGTGGGAAGTAAGCCCAATATGCTGGAATTCTGTTATGGTTGCTTGTTGCATAGAATTCCAAAATGTTTGACTTGAATTGGGTATATCTATGTTTATACTACGTATTAGTTATGCCATTTGCTACATTCGGTTCATTTCTTTGATTGATTGGGTGATATGGACAAATGGATGATTCTAATGAACAAGCCGGCTATTGTAATTCGTTGTGTATTAGAATATGGTTGTGGGTGGAGTGATTAAAATGTTTCCAAACAAACTTACTTCAAAGAAGGGTATTGATACTATCTTCTTAGAATGCCTGCTTTGTGAGAGCCATTGAAGGCGATCACATAATATAAGTTATATAACGATGCATCACCAATTCAGATAGAGGATTAATCTTAGAAGGTCGGCTAGTACAATCAACTGAATCAAGTGCTTATAGTTTCAATACCTGTTGAACTAGCAAAATGTATTTTGGAAGAAAGTATATGTTTTACTTATTTCACTTTTAGGTTATTGTTGGGCATTGTATGTGATCCAGGGTGACATTATTATTATTATTATCATAAACTCATAATGCTAGTTGCTACCTGTATTTGAATTGCTTGATGATAAAATGTATCTAAATTGTGGAAATGATAGAATCCTCAGTAAACTGACCAGATGCAATGACACCTAGAGATGCTCAGTGAAAGGAGTCCTAATATTATCATGGTGGTTGGAGTCAAAATCTGATGAATTTTCTAACTGATTTCTAGGTATGTATCAATTATGCATTAGAAACTGGCTTTGGTGTCTGTTTGAATTGTCATTTCCCATTTGTCTAGCAGTAGGTGTTGAAAGTTCAGCATTGTGATTTGGCTAGCTAATCTTCTTGAAGCTTCAGCTTTTGGGGAACAAAAAACATTTAGCTGAGAAAATCTGCTTCTTGCAGCTTCAGCTTGAATCTTGTTCTTTTTCTGCTTTTTGGGAAGAGAGGTTTTTTTTTTTTTTTTTTTTTTTTGGGTGGGGGTGGGGGGTAATCTACTCCATTTAAGTCTTTGAAGACAATGAAAGCATAAATTATTGTAACATGGACTCTTCTTCAATGAGGAATGTTCTAGTTGGTGTGAGTTTGGACTTTGGGGTTTATATATATGAGAGTCAGAGCTTGTTTTGGTGAATGAGTTTATTTAGGGATATGAGTTATTGTGTGTGCTATGTAACAATGTATTTTGCTATATTATGTCCAATAAAAAATTTCTAATATGTGTCAAATTGAAGAAGAAATAGTTGGACATACCTGTATTGTGAGACAAGTATACAATTTTGCAAATCTGAAAATTTTTATTGCTTAAACATATAATACTTAAAAGGGATGGTTTATTGAAATTTCAGGGGTTGTAAATGAGATAATATAAGTGGTTCAATAACTCCAATCACATTGCCAATACAAATCTAGATTTTAGTCACTCCCTCTGTTTATTAATATTTGCATCACTTGTCTCTGTGTGGGGTTTTAGATTAGATTCGCGATTTTTGTTGTTTGATCCATTTGTATAGGTTGATTTCTTTTTATTGCCATTATGAGTATATGCAGATATGCTTCAACAGTAAAGTTAATATCTTGGTTGGGTTAGAATTGTATATTTTTCTGTGGTGACCCACTGGATAAATCTTCGTAGTTTGTTGCATATTCACTTTACATGTTTGTTACTTGCTCATCATGTCCAGCTATAGCACTTCTTCATATCTTTTTGTTGTTTTTTATTCCCCTCTTTTCAGCTTGAAGCTGTCATCGAAGCTGAAAAACAAGCAGCAAGGGACTTGATTCGTGAAAAGAAAAAAGATAGAGCCTTACTTGCATTGAAGAAGAAGAAGGTGCAGGAAGAGTTGCTGCAGAAAGTTGATGCTTGGCTAATTAATGTTGAGCAGCAAGTAAGAATGTCAACCATTATGACCCTCCAGCTTTTGATGCTATTTTAAGCGACCTTACACTTTCCGATTCATTAGTCTCACAATTTTATTTGATTTAGTTGGCAGATATAGAATTATCCAGCAAGCAAAAGGCTGTCTTTGAGAGCTTGCAAGCGGGAAACAATGCAATGAAAGCAATTCAAAGTGAACTTAACCTGGATGATGTTCAGAAGTTGATGGATGACACTGAAGAAGCAAGAGCCTATCAAGATGTATGCTTTCCTTTATTCATATTCTGAAAACTATAGTTTTCCTGCTGATTTGACTGTCATATTTTGTTTCTTTTTTTTTCCCAAAGGCTTTGGAGTTAGGGGTACATTTAAAGTTAAAATGAAGAAATTAATAAGTCCTGCAAATTGAAAAGAAAAAATAAAAATTTAAGTTTTAATAACAAGAAATAGGAAATAACCTTGCGAGTCTTGACCTTAGTCTTGATGGCCATAGTAGACTCCCATAGTCCCATGTCCAATCAATGTTCACTGTCCTCTCTCAGAGTTTATTGTTCATCTTTTCACGTTGTAATGCCATGATGTCAGGACCAGATATTTGGTATTTACAAATTAACAGCATGAAGCATTTTGACAGGAGCAGTTGCATACTTGCGTTCTCAATTTTCAGCCCTTAGTTATCAGTTCTCAACCACTAGCTGTTTATATGTAATTGTGTTATTAGCCCCTGGGATACCCTGGTCTCCTTGAAATTGATTCTCCTTCATTAGGAAGTTGTAGTTGGTCATTACTCATTAGAAAGTGTCTCGTGATCAACATTTCCTAAATTTCTTGCCATTTATGCCATTAAGTTGGATCACTTGATCCCCGAGTGTGTCCTTTAGAACGATCAGCACTCTGGTATTACCAATAGGGTAGTGCTTAGAACAAGAATACTACTTCTAGCTTCATATTTGTGCTTGGTAATGACATGTTTGGACAATATACATGGTAGACTTGACAGATTTGATGCTGTCAATACAATAAATTAATAAGAAGCACAAGTCACGGGGACAAGCCGGACAACACTTTACAGGTGCATGATAGAGTCATAGACAGAAGGTGGCTTTGTAAATCTAATTACGGTTGGCTATAACTTATGGCTACCTAAGCACTATAATTTTCCTGTCATGTCTCTTCAGAATTGCTTGTATGCGATTGGCTATAGCTGTACACGGTGCATGTTATGTGAACCTGTGTGCATTTCTTGTTCGAATTACAATATTTTTTTCAACTTTATTTGGGAAACTAATAATCTTTCATTTGGTATCTGTTTCTAGGAAATACATGCTATACTGGGGGAGAAATTATCTGCTGATGACGAGGAAGAAGTATTAGCAGAATTTGATAATCTAGAAGCAATGGTATGTTTAATTTTTGAGATACTTGTCCTTATCTATGCTGTGTCTAGTATTAAGGGCTTGATGAGCTGATTGAGACTGCATATTAATTTCTATCTATGGCTTTTTAGATGAAATCAGTCTGTAATCAGCTGGAAGGAACTTAAATGATGAGATTATGTTCATAATATAAAAACACACATAATATAAGCCTTGGGCAATTCTGTAATGAATTGAAGGAAGCATCCTTAAGTTGCCCAGTGCTCTTTAGGATCACATGTGATACAAATCCTAAGCCTAATTGACTCAGGAAATCGGAGAACCCCTTCCACAAACAGTATAAGATATTTGATTACGTGAAGGAAAGTTTCCCTACTTGAACAGTAGTCTGAGACTCTGAGGGGAGAAGGCTCCCACATCTTCGGTCTTCCTCAGAACTTCTTAGAGACCATATTTATTCACCACTTATAGCTATTACTTATGGCTTGTTTTATCATAATGTGCTCAACTCCATATCTTCTGGCTCCCACAAGCATATTTTTGTGCACATCAAGTAGGTCCAAAGCATCATTTCTGTATGATATAGAGATTTTTCAAAGAAGAAATTGTAGAGAAGATTTCAAATGCTTTATCGCAAGAGAGAACTTAGGATTTATACATTGTCAAGCTTTGGTGGCACCGTGGCAATATGTAGTATATTAAGTTTTGTTGTCATTATTTTTTATGGGACCCCCCCCCCCCCCACACACACACACACACACAAAAAAAAAAAAAACGCACACACAAATTAATAGTGATTTTGTATTTGTTCTGCTGTGTAATTCTGTAATCAGGTATATCTTTATATGTACACGGACATGTAGAGGCGTGTTCTTTCATGTGTATCTACTGAAATACAATTGCACATGTGAGGATGAATTTGATTCACAATGTTGTTGTGAATGTTTTACATTGTTGGAAATAGCTTATTCAACTATACTCTGTCCACAAACTGTGAGAAATATACTTGTTGCATCAGATATTCTCTGAATTAGCTAAGTTCAATGAGAAAAAAAGGGTAAGACTTTATGCAAGAAATGCTAATCTATATGCATATTTATGGGGAACTTAGATTGAGATGTAAACTCACTTGTTCATTCAGATGTAGTGATGTACTTAAATAAATTTAACAAAATTTTCCTGTATATCATGACACATTGATACCATCCTAAGAATATATGCTCATATTTTGTATGAACTTGGTAGTTGGTAGTCATTAGGCATGGAAATAATTATGAACCTTGAACTTTGATCTTTTTAGATTAATTCATACTTAACTATACAATTGAATACACACACCTGTGCACATGTGGCACAGCAAGAACTAAGGGCTGTACACCGGTCCAAAACCGGATCGGGACCTGAATCCTTGATTTTTAAGGATCGGAAACCGGGCCTGAATCAGCAGGTCCGGTTCCGGTCCAGACCTGAAAAATCAGGTCCGGTCCGGGTTTGGACCTGAATAGACCTGATTATTGATTTTTTTTTTTCATTCTTTTTAAAATAATATTGCTGACCTGTTTTACTGTTTAGACCTGTTTAGACTTATCAAATAAAAAAAGTAGCTTTACCGGTTTCAGGTCCGGACCTGAAAATTCTGGGTTTTACCCGGACCGGACCTGAAGCCCGGAATCCTTGAATTTCAAGGACCGGGACTGGACCTGAATCTACAGGTCCGGGCCAGTTTTTGTACACCCCTAATCTGTACAAACCTTATTAGAACTGAACAAAGATATGTAAACTATGTGACAAGGGACCATGCCTATGTATTTGGAATATGCTTCATTTGTATGCAGCCCTACTAGAAAATCTCTGATCTCAAATGCAGTCTTGCAGCCCTACTAGAAAATCTCTGATCTCAAATGCAGTCTTGCAGCCCTACTAGATATTCTACTATTATATCTTGTGGTTGCATATTACACTCTAGCATCGTGTATGTTCTTGTTGTAGTCTTATCTGATGGAGGTATGCTTTTGTTGGTGTAGCTTACTGTCCAAGATCTACCAGAAGTTCCCACTACAGTTCCTGAAGAGGAAGAGAAGTTGGATCTACCTGATGTTCCTACCAAGGCTCCCGTTGCTGATGATGTTGAGGAGGTTTCAGATAAAATTCCTGAGAAGAGAAAAGGTAGATATCCTTCCGTCTTCCACATTCTTCACTCTTTGTTTTTCACCTTTTCCATTCTAAGATAGTGATGGCATTTCAGAAATTTTCTCAAAGAATTTCTCTTTTGTTTTTTTTCTCCTCCTCACCCTCTCTGTCAACAATATATTGATGCTTTGGCTCTTCTTTGGCAGTTATGGAAGAGCCATTGCCGGCATAGCCTGCCTAAGACTTTGGATCTGATCGTGGAGTGTGAGTTGATGACACAAGCACACAAACCCTTCTCATTGTTTCAATAGAAGTGATGTTCAGAAGGCCTATATTTACGCCCCATTATTTTTTTTTTTTTTCCTTTCTGGTTATGTATAGTATTGCAGTTGTGTACATTTATCTTTCAATCCTATATTCCTATCCCAGCTAATCAGCCTAAAATGGAAGAAATCGGCTGTTTGAATCTTCAATGTGTACAGATTTACAACTGTTTATTCAGTTTACGATTTACCGGACATGTCTTGTTCAACTTCTAGTTTACTTGCCCGTGATTATTGCTATTCGCCATTCCTATCATATGTTTGAATAAGCCATAAGTTCTTGAGTATTTACAATGTCAATCCTGCCTTTATTGGACTCACATGTCAAAATGGTTAATCTGTCAATAATCCTCCTTCAAGTTAGATTCAAGTCAAAGGAACAACACTAAGCATTCACTATAGATTCCTTCAAAAAAGCATTCACTATGGATTGAGAAAGAAGTGTAAATAGTTACTCGTATATACTTACTCTATTTAGCTATTCAGTATTTACTATGCACTAGAAATTACAAGGATAAAACAACAAATCCACGACAAAGAACTATATGGCTTATTCAAACATATGTAGCAAAATATTTGTGTACATGAATAATTGAATACCACTAACCTTTCGTTGCAAGTAGAACTCGTATTTACCAAGGTCAAGTGGTAAAGGTGGATAACTTGATTTATATGCACCTGGATAAAAGGTGTACCTGAAGCCATTTTATGCTCATTTTAAAATTTAAAAGGAGTAAAAAGAATATCAAATGAGGGAAAAACCACCCTTAATTGTACCTACTTCTATATACACCTGGTATATTATAAAAAGTAATGAGTTTTACAACTTTGATGCTAGAGGTTCAACTCCTATTAGAGTCACTTTAAGTGTAGGAAATTCCCTTATCCTCTCTCCTAATAACCTAGGAGAAGTTTCATTAACAAGTAACAACTTTAAATTTATGTTCACACTGACACATAATGTTGTACTCCGTATTATATTATTTTTGAGGGAATCATGTTGTATTATATATCATCAATAATTATAACTGATTAATAATTTAATAGTTAAATACGCATTTCACAATAGTTTATGCTTTATGGTAATGTATGTATTTCAATATTTGGTAGCAAAATTTTTATTTTCGTATCATTATAGTTTGATACTTGCATATTTTCTATATTTCAAATTAGTTGACACGTTTTGACTTTTAGCACTATTTACCAACTTTATTTGGATATATTTTGATGATTTACCGGAGTACATAAAAAGTATTCATGCAAAATTTTTTAAACTAAGGCCCTGTTCACTTCACCTTAAAAATATAATATTTTATACAAATAATTTCAATTTAGTAAAAATAAGTGCAGTTAATAAAATTAAATTCAGTTCAGTAAAAATCAGTAACTTTAAAGAACAAATGTACGGAGTAATAGAAAATCAGTTCAGTAAAATAATTTTCAGTTCAGTAAAAACAATTTAATTTTAGCAAAATAATTTCATTTCAGTTTAATTAATTTCAATTCCGCGAAAATAAGGTGAAATAAACGTGCCTAATTATAATGGAGTTTTAGAGTTGGTGGGGGTACTCATCTTGTGATTTTAAGGTCACAAATTTTCAAGGATTCTCTCACCTAGGGCCTATCTTAATTTACTAAACTGAATATTTTATGAGAAAATGAAATTAGAGATTGAACTGAAGTGAAATAAAATAAAATGAATTTAAATGAACTTATTAGAGTTGAGATGAACTAAACTAAAAATAAGCTCGCAACGAGGGTTATGAATTGAGTATTCTGGGGTATTCAATCGTTTTAGAACAAACTTGAGAGTTAGCAACAAACAAAGCTCGCAACTTTGCAAAAATAAGGGTTCTCAATTAAACATCCCTTTTCTCAGGTTCGTCCTTTTTCTCCCTAACCTAGCCGCCGATTTTTTCAATCTCTTCTTCCCAATTTCTTGTTCAATTTCTGGTTCAAGATTGAAGCTTTTTAATCTCTCTTTCGAGTCTCAATTTTTTCTTTTTTTAAATTTCAATTATAAAAGCAGATTTGAATTCCCAGCTATTTTTAATTCTAACCCTTTTTATTTGATTTATAGGTTTTAATTGAGCGAAGAAATCATGGCTTCTGAAGACAACGTCACCGAATTGAAAGAAGAAATTCCTGATGTGGGTATTTCTTTTTTTTTTTTTTTTTTTTTTTTTTTAATTTATTAGGGTTTTCTTTTTTCGTTTAATTTTTCTGTAATTTTCGGCAATTGATTTCAATATAATTTACTGCTTATTTGTGTAGCTTTTGAGGTTACAATTATAATTTACTCGTATCATCTTTTAAATATTTTTGGGTAAATGAAATTGCAATTAGGTGTAGCAGTTTAGCCCAAAATCTCGTATTTCTCTTAGTTTACATGGAATCTTGGAAAGATTATATTTTTATAACATTCAGGTATATGCATATGCCAAAGTCTTAATTCCAAAAGGATGAGGTTGGCTTGGTTGTGTGAGCTAGAAATTATCTGAATGCTGATAGTTTCATTCACGGATATATGATTGATATGAAGTTTTTAATTGCTACAAAAAGTAGTAGTTGATTACAGGGGTGTTTAATTAGTATGGGAATGAGAGAGGTCTTTGAACTTCATAGAAAACGTGCTAAAGTGGCGATGAGAATCGAATGAAATTCAGTGGGAATCGCATGCACGAGAAGCTATTGAGTGCTGAAAATCTTGCAACCCCAGCTTGTGTAGAAGATGCTAATGTTGGGATTAAAATAGGGCCTTGGTTAGTAAGTTTTAAAGTCTACATGCAAGTTTTGAACTGGTTGTCAAATGTCTTATGTAGAAAAGACCTTAGAACACCTTCTCTTTGATTCACGGCTTTGTATAGGCTATAGAGTATAGGGTGATTTGATTGTCACAACAAAGAGGTCCAACTTCCTAGTAATGTACCCTCTGTCGAAACTTCCTCTTTGACTGTTGATCTGTTTTAAAGAGATTTTTAGTATGCTCATTGGAGTGAATGACTTTTTGTGGAGCTTTGAATTATTACATGATCAAGTAGTATGCTGGCAACTCCGAACAAATAAAACAAGGCTTAAATTGGATAAGCTCGCAATTTAAGTGTTGCGTCTTTGGTGGTCTTATCATTCTTGCCAATTTAGCGGCCTTCATTGTGCTGTGGAACATAATTCTATACTCTGCTTCCATCTCAAAGTAGTTTGACCAAAAAAATATAAACAAGTGATGTGTCTTTGGTAGAGGCTTTCAGAATAATACCTTGATATGAAGTGTTTTAAGTATTAAGATACTCCAGGCTTGAGCACTTGCTGGAATGAAATAAATTGGGACCTTCTACGGTCTTTTCGATATTTATTGAGTGTTCAGCTACAATAGGCAAGTCAGCTCTGGTACGTGACTACATGTCATACAGTTAAGATTATTAACTATTAAGTTTGTCAGCATCCTATACGCAAAATGTAACAGGAAAAGAAAGAAGCTTCCCTTCATTTTTTTTTTGGGGTAGTTTTCTGTATGGTTTGAAGGAGTAAAAACACTTTTAGGAGAAGACTGGCATCTAATCCTTGATCAAACTAGCTAAGAAAACTTAGTGAGCTTTTAAATCTTCTCCTTTGGTTTAGAATACCTTCTGGCCCTTAAGTTTCATCTTTGGTATCTTTATCGGTAGGAGCTGAGGCTTTCCATATGGAGATTAGAGAGAGATAGTCTCATTTCAGTTACGGTTGTTAATTTGGTTGGAACTTCAATTTCCTAACTTTTATTAAAGCCAATATTGAATTTCATAAGATGTCTACTTTGTTGACATCATATCCTTTTGCTTTTCTTCATTCAGATAGTACCATTTGATCCGACTAAGAAAAAGAAGAAGAAAAAGGTTGTCATTCAAGATCCTGTTGATGAACCTCTGGATAAATTGGCTGAGAAAACAGAGAACTTGTCAGGTATGTGTCTTCCTCTCTTGTGACAGTTGTGTAAGATGCTGAACACTTGTCTTTTTCATTTTGCATTTGGATCGGTGTAGCTTAAGTGTTCTTGAAATTATAATTTAAAATGTATTGTATTTGATCATCATTTTGCAATGAACTTTTATAATGTGGAAGGATTTTGCATTTGGATTGGTGTAGCTTAAGTGTTCTTGAAATTATAATATAAAATGTATTGAATTTGATCATCATTTTGCAATGAACTTTTATAATGTGGAAGGTCAAGCATTTGAGTATTTTTCGACTCCCTCCTTCCTATGGTGAACTTTACACTTTGTTTTTTGTGTTTTTCCAAGTTAAACTGCACACTTTTTTCCCCCTCCCTTTTGACTGTATTTTTAATTTCCATGCTGAACTCAGATTTAAATTGCATAATGGGACAGAGCGAGTATTAAGATAAAAGACTAATTTGTGATTTAGGGTATAGGTGTTGAAGTTGTCTACTGTTATTCACTATTTGAGAGATGTTCACCTCTGATATTTCTGCTCCTCTGCAGTATCTGATGGAGTTGAAAATTCCTTTGCTGGCTTGAAGAAAAAGAAGAAGAAGCCTGTAAGAAGGGGGAAGATTTATATTACTTTAGGAATATCTTATTTATTGAATAACTTTTGATGAAGAGATTCCGTTTGCAGGTCGAAAGTAACCTTTCAGGCGATGATACTGCTGACTTTGGGGAAGAGAAAGATGGTAGGATTTTTTTATTTCTTTTCGCCACCAAATATGTAGAGAAGAGCTATCCCCATAAGTTTACCATTTTTGTCAACTATATTAGGGAGCCTTTAGTAAATTATGCCTGACATGGCTTTTGACTCAGATAACATTGAAGAAGATGAAGAGGGAGAGGGGATAGTTTTGCAAGGAGAACGAACGCTATATCCTTGGGAAGGAAGTGACAGAGATTATACATATGAGGAGGTCTGTTTCATACATTGTCTCTCTTGTTTGCAAACCAAAATGCTAAAATTGCTATTTCTGTCATTGCCTTATAACTTGTACAATATCATTTTTCTTACTACCTCCGTTACATATTAGTTGCAACTTTTACCAAAACGGGATGCTACACATTAGTTGCAACTTTCCATTTTTTCCCTTTTTAGTAAGTTTTTTAAAATATAAGGACAAAAATACCCTTACTAAAAAACTCATAAACACAATTAACTACCTAAATCTGATTTCATTAAACTCTTAATCTAACTTAAATATACATCAAAACAA